GGAAAACTCTTGGGTCTGTAGCCAGTAGCGGCTTAAAGAGAAAGATTGTATCCTTTGAAAGTTTTGTTTGCCTTTGCTTTTTTGTTTTTTTTTACTTGTTGCATAGAACTCTGACAATCTACTGGTCATTAGCCCCTAACTTATACTGGACAGTATCCATTCCATGTGTGCGTTACGTGTTAATAGATTTCCTTTTCCTGAGCACTGGAAGGTGGGGAGGAATTTTTAAATGAAAAAAAAAAAAATCAGCAAAGCTTAAATGAATTCCCCAGCATAAAACTCAGATCCAAAATGTAACAGAGTCATCAGGCCTTTTCAATTTCCTATGGTAACCGAAGACTAAACTGTGTTTTAAAAACTATTGTATAATGAGATTCACAAGAGGTATCAAGTTACTAAATGGCTTTTAGCCTCTTCTGAAACTGAAGCAAAGGGAAATCTCATTAATTGGAACTGTGCTAATAATGGAATTTGTTATAATTCAACTTGGCCTAAGCTGCAGTTTACGTTAGGTTTACACGTAAGAAAAGCTGACCAGAGCAACCTTGTAAGAAGATTGTGCACAGCACGCTTCGTGTCTTTAGAAGAACAAATTGTCTTAAGGCTTTTAGCACCTCTCTTGTACCTAAATAAATTCCTGCCAAATTGAGATGAGTTTTAAATGTTGATTAGAGCAGACGGGAAGTACGACTCCTTGGGAACCCTTTCTTTGTCAAGTTCTCCTCGGTACTCAAAAGAAATAAAAGTTCATTTTGTTTAAGGATTCTAAATAACCCCTTAAATGCACACAGGCCTCTTAACCTACCCTTCATTCCAGTTGTCATGAATGAGTGGGGTTTTATTGAAGCAGTAGCAAAGATCTGTAATTACAGTCACTTAAAAAGGAATGAACTCAAAATAATGTTTTTCCCCACTTGTGTGTGTCAGGCTGTGTGCTAAGCACTTCTTGGTTTCTTTACACTGTGCCAGTAACCAATGGGTTCTTAGCAGATAGTCATATTTGCTCTTAACATAATCTGCATCTTCTTCTAGCTATACGAGAACATTAGAATCTTTGGGGCTCATTGGCATCAATGGATAGGTGGTCAAAAGCCAAAGAGGAAAATATGTGTAAGAAAAGAAATAGATAGCAGATAATAGATGAATGGATGGATGGAGAAGACAGACGATAGATAGAAAGATAGAAATGGATGGATGGGCCAGCGCCGCGGCTCACTAGGCTAATCCTCTGCCTTTCGGTGCCGGCACACCGGGTTCTAGTCCCGGTCAGGGCGCCGGATTCCGTCCTGGTTGCCCCTCTTCCAGGCCAGCTCTCTGCTGTGGCCAGGGAGTGCAGTGGAGGATGGCCCAAGTACTTGGGCCCTGCACCCCATGGGAGACCAGGATAAGTACCTGGCTCCTGCCATCGGATCAGCGTGGTGCACCAGCCACAGTGCGCTGGCCGAGGCGGCCATTGGAGGTTGAACCAACGGCAAAAGAAGACCTTTCTCTCTCTCTCTCTCTCACTGTCCACTCTGCCTGTCACTAAACAGAAAAAAAAAAAAAAAAAAAGAAAGAAAGGAAAAAGAAAGAAATGGATGGAGGATGGATGGGTGGATAGATTGATGGATGCACAGAGAGAAGTACCTAAAGCTGCTAGCCAGATGTCAGTGAGTGGTTTTTCTCTCCATTTCTGCCCAGACGAGAACTGTGGCAGTGGACATTAGAAAGATAGCCATGAAACTAAATTGCCACAGCCCTCTGGTGACCACAGAAAGCCAGCTAAGGACTCTGTAGCTGGTGCTTCTCCGACAAGGTCCCAAGGCTGCAGAGAAAGAACAGGAGGAGTTCAAACCTTCTAGATTTCTGGTCTGCTGGATAAGTTGGAGAAAGGACCTCCGGGGTGGCTGCAGGTGCCTAGGAATCACGAGGTCCTCCCGACTTTGAAGCTGGATTGGATTCCTCGATGCTTGGGTTTGACTTTCCTGAACACTATCATTTAATAGCTGCTGAATGTTCCCAGTTCCCTCCTCCCTTCTAGAAGGAAATGCCTCACATTCTCGACATTCCATTCACATTTTAAAAAGTTTAAATTTATTTATTAGAGAGTCAGAGAGAGAGAAACAGAGAGATAGAGAGAAACAGAGAGAAAAAGAGAGACAGAGAGCAAGAGACCAACAAGCTGACAGAGTTCCTATCCTCTGGTTCATTTCTCAAATGCCTACAATGGCCAGGGCTGGGCCAAGCTGAATCCTGGAGCCCAAAACTCAACCCAGGTCTCCCATCTGGGTGGCAGGGACCCAACTACTTGAACCATCACTGCTGCTTCCCAGGCTCTGCATTGACAGGAAGCTGGAATGGAATAGAAGCTAGGAATGAAACCCAGGCACTCCCCTATGGGATGTAGGCATCTTATCCAGGGTCTTAACTGCTAGGCTAAATGCCTACCTCCATTCACATTTAAACATTCACAACCCTTTTTTTTTTTTTGCTTTACCAGATTATAAAAGAATACCAAAAAAGTAAACAAACTAGGTGAAAAAAAGTGCAAATATAAGCAGTCCATAAAAAATTCACATACTATAGGAGAATATTAGCAAGCAATGAGATGATGTGCAACTCCATCACCCGGCAATGCCCACTGTTAACATGTTGATATCTAATTAGCAGTGAAGACAGTGCATTGGAGGGGTGTTGTTGTGGCACAGCAGGTTAAGCTGCTGCTTGGTACATCCGCATCCCTATTAGACTGCCTGGGATCAAGTCCTGCCTCTAATTCCCATCCAGCTTCCTGCTAACGCACCTGAGAGGCAGCAGATAATGGCCCAAGTCCTTGAGTCCCTGCCACCCAGATGGGAGACCTGGATGGAGTTCCAAGCTCCTGGCTTCAGCTTGGCCCAGCCCTGGCTGTTACACAAATTTGGGGAGTGAACCAGTAGATGGGAAATATCTCTATGTCTCTCCCTCCTTCTCTCTGCCCCTCTTGCCTTTCAAATAAATATCTTTCTTTAAGATTTATTTATTATTTGAAAGACAGAGTTACAGAGAGGCAGAGGCAGAGAGAGAAAGAGAGAGAGAGAGAGAGGTCTTCCATCCACTGGTTCACTCCTCAAATGGCTGCAACAGCCAGAGCCGAGCTGATCCGAAGCCAGGAGTTTCTTCCAGGTCTTGCACGGGAGTGCAGGGGCTCAGGGACTTGGGTCATCTCCTGCTGCTTTCCCAGGTGCATTAGCAGGGAGCTGGATGGGAGGCAGAGCAGCCAGAACTCAAACCAGCACCATATGGGATGCTGGAGCCACCGGTGGTGGCTTCACCCACTATGCCATAACGCCAGCACCTTAAAAAAAATTTGCATCTGTACTGAACATGGATGGACCTTTTTCTTGTGCTTTTTCCCAAAACAATATAGCTAACAACTATTTATGTTGTGTTTACATTGTATTGAGTATTTTGAGTCACCTAGATATGATTTAAAATATACAGGAGGTTGTGCATAGGTTTTCTGCAGATAATCACACCATTTTATATACTTGAACATCTATATATTAGGTGTCTTTAGGGTGTGTGTGTGTGGGGGGGGTGTCCAGGAAATGGCTGTATACATATGCATTAGCCTATTAATCATCCTTCCCCCATCTTTTCCCCTAAAGAGGATTCTGCCTTTTCCCACACAGTCGCTCTATCATTGCTGGACTCATCAAGGACACTGATTTGCATCTGGAAGGGCTACCTGGGGTAGAAGGAAAAGGAAGTAGAAGGATCAAGCAGGAAGGAGAACTTGAAGGGGAAAAAGAGAAAAATAACCCAGGTTGCTGCCGGGGGAAGTGAGGAAAAGCATTTGGGGAAGTAACTGCGACGATGAGGCTGACTTAAGATGGTAAGGATTCTCCAGAGACTTCCGTGAGGATGTCAGTCATTTTCTACAGCTCTGTGGACTCAGGACTGGTGATTCCTTGAACTGTGACACCAGCTTCAGACTGGCCACGGTTCGGCCAGTTGCATCTGATCTCACGTAGAATGTAGAACTTACCTTGTTGATGGCATTGTATTGTTCCAGGGAGTCCTACATGGATAATAACCCTTTCCCTTAGGCAGAGATGTTGGTTCTTAGAAGCGTTTTTTCTGATCAACAAAATGCTGTGGTGAGTAGCTTTACAAGTCGGTTCACACCTAAAGTAAGTAGATAGACGATAGAGATAGATAGATAGATAGATAGATAGATAGATAGATAGATGCATGGATGGATGGATGGATGGATGGATGGATGGATGAATGGATGGAAAAACAAAGAATAAATGTAGCCTATCTATACAATAGAATGCTACTCGGCAATAAAAAGCAAATGTAATATTGATTCACGCAATAGGAATGAATCTAAAATTAATTATGCCGAGGGAAAGAAGCCAGACTTTTGTAGACTTCCACTTACGTGAAGTTCTGCACAGAAAGCAGATCGGCAGTTGCTTGGGTGCTAGGATGTGGGGCGGCAGGGAAGGTTTGAAAAGGGGCTTGAATACATTTGGGTGGGAAAATCCTTCATCACCTTGATGTGCTGATAGCACCACAGACACAGGCAGGTATCAACATTTACCAAATCGGAACTTTAAAAAGATGCAGATTTCTGCATATCAAGTATACCTGACCAGGGGACCCTCTTGGAGTGCTCATATCCCATGTTGGAGTACATGGGATGGGAGGTCTTGGCTCTGCCTCTGATTCCATCTTCCTGCTAATGCATACCCTGGGAGGCAGCAGAGGATGGCTCAAGTACTTGGGTCCCATGTGGGAGACCTGGATTGAGTTCTGGGATTTTGACTTTGGCCTAGCCCAGCCCCTGACTGCTACAGACATTTGGGGAAGTGAATCCCCAAACCAGAGTTCATGTTCTGTCTGTCTCTGCCTTTCAAATAAAATGAAAAAAAAATTTTTTAAATGCTACTTTAATAAAGCTATAAAGTAGATAACAACAGATAAGTAGATGAGGGTAGCATCTTAGGCTGAACCAGAGAAGAGAAGAGATCTGCAGAGGCTGATTTAAGCAGGGCTGAGCTGCATGTTGGAGAGAAAGGCAGAGTCAAGTATATGATGACTCCAGTGGGACACTGTGGTGTGGAGCGGCGTTTTGGGGGTAGCCTTGATGAGAGGGCTTCCAGGGATGAGGTGATGGGCAGGGCTAAGACAAGCTTGGCCTCATGCCCATTTCCCATCTGCAGCTTAGGCCTGCTCTTTGTTCCTCTGCCCCTACACAGGGCACCCCAGAGCCCAGTACCATCCCTGGCACACAGTCAATACTGGGCAAATGTCTACCAACAGACCTGCATGTAGGCCCTACTCAACCGGCCCAACCTAGGGGCGACCCAAGGATCCTTGTTCTCCTTGGCAAAGGCCTCCTGGCTGGCACCCTTTGCTGCCACCCTCAGCCCCAAGCTTGTCTCTTGGACTCACGAGTGGATCCATCCCTTAGACCCACCCTGCGAACTCCTCCATGGACACAGGTGCCTTCTTTCCCCGCCTTCCACCCACCCCTGCAGCTTCTGTGAAAGGCAGGTTGTCTGGACAGCCTGGGGTTCATGTCTTAGCTGTGCCTCTTTGTGACTTTGTGCCCTTGAGCAGGTGAATTCCCTTTGAGCCTCAGTTTTCTCACTTGTAAAATGGGGATAACAAGTATTAGCTACAAAAGTGAGCTAGCATTCATGAAATAAAGGCGTGAAAGGGGCAGTGAAAATAAGTGTATTTTATTTTTTATTTTTCTTAGATCTACTTGTTTCTTTGAGAGGCAGAGTGACAGAGAGACAGGGAGAGACAGAGAGAGACAGATCTTCCTTCTGCTAGGCCATTTCCCAAATGCCCACAATAGCCAAGGCTGGGTCAGGCTAAAGCCAGGAGCCGGTAACTACATCCAGTTTTCCCCCATGAGTGGCAGGAACCCTAGTACTTGAGCTTCCCAAGTGTATTGACAGGAAGCTAAATCAGAAGAAGCAGAGGGGCCGGCACTGTGGCGCAGCAGGTTGGGCTGTAGTCTGCAGTCTGCATCCCATGTGGGTGCCAGTTCAAGCCCCAGCTGCTCTGCTTCCGATCCAACTCATTGCTGGAGTGCCTGGGAAGGCAGCCAAGGATGGCCTAAGTCCTTGGGCCCCTGCACCCACATGAGTGATCCGGAGGAAGCTCCTGGTTCCTGGCTTTGGCCTGGCCCTGCCCCAGCTGTTATGGTTGTTTGGGAAGTGAACCAGCTGATAGAAGATCTCTCTCTCTCTCTCCCTCTGTTACTCTGTAACTCTGCATTTCAAATAAATAAATAAATCTTAGAAAAGAAAAAAGAAGAAGAGGTGGCACTGCTTTCCAGGTACTTTGATATGGGATGTGGGCACCCCAGCTGTGGCCTAACCTAATGTACCACATATTTTATTTTTTATGCAGTCATTAAGAAGCTAAGAGCTTGGACTCTTAACCCAAATTCAAGCCCCAGGCCACTGACCCTGAGCAATGACTTACTTTCTCCAAGTACTAGTCTCTTCCCCTACAACTTGGAGATGATGTTGGTGTAGGGTCAGGAGCCTGGTGGGGAAGAGAGGGCTCACACTGGGTCATCTTGGGAGTGTTGAATAAAGAGAAGGTTTGCCCAGGTGTGGGGAGGCGTAAGGAGATCAGCGCGGTAGAGGGTCATCAGACGGTCAGTTCCTGAAGCGGACAGAGGAGCTGTAAGGAGGGAGTCATCCACAGAGAGTTCTGTCTTTGGCGAGAGGCACAGCCCGCTCTCCACGATGAAGCCAGGAGGAGCCCAGGGAACCAAAGTCCAGACCTCATTGTCTTCCTGCCCATGCCCCGTTGTCTTCTCCAACAAAGCCACTGAGAGGCCTGAGAGCCGGGAGCCCGCTGATGGTGTCCACCCAGGCCGGGGCCCAGGGGCAGGGCGAGGCAGACCTGGAGGAGCAGAAAGATGAAATGCAATATAAAGGCCCAACCTCCAGGGATCACAGGAGCCCACAGGCATCACTGAGACCACACCCACACACTGCTTCACCCACAGAAAGGCTCCCCTGAGTGGCAGCCCCTGGTTACCCCAGCACTGAGTCTCGCTGGGTCCTCATAGACAGTGCCAGGCCAGCCTTGACCCAACCCACAGTGCTGGGGATGGAACAAAGCTGATCTTCCCCTACATTCGGTGCTTACTTAGAGAAAAACTGGCTGCTGGGAGCAAGAAGAGGTTGGCTGTGGGTTTCTGCAACAGCTGGGGGTGGAAGGGAGGCAGCGAGGGGGGAGCTGGAATGCATTAGGACTCCAGAAAGCCAAGAGACCCCAGAGGCCTGGACTCCGAGCAGAGCCCACACTGAGGACAGATTTGCTTTCACTCCGTCCTCGGATCGTGGATTGTGGGGCGGAGCTGCGGAGCCAGAGGCCCGGCCCCCAGGAGGCAGGGCTCCAGGGCAGCACCCTGCCCGGGTATGCGACGTGGAATGTGCCACTCTTGGGAGCAACTGAGGCTCTTGCTTTTTAAAATTGGCCTGCAAATCTCTGTATAGTTTTCAGGCTTTAGGAATTTTATTTTATCTGGATTAAAGTCATGTTCTGCTTTGGCATCGGAAGGCGTTTATGACTGTTAAAACAAGAAATGAAAAACATAGGCCTGGAATCCGCGAGGCTGCCTCCTGCCAGACTCACAGGGGTTTGTCTTGGGGGCCAGGCTGAAGGTTTTCTGTCCCTTCTTCCCTGGCTGCTCTGGGATTTTCTGATACAGCCAGGACCGGGCCAGCTCTGAGTGGCACTCCCAGGAGCTTGGGGAAGGCCTGCAAGGAAGGAGCCCTTTGTCTGCTCAACGAGCGAATCTGCCCGCTCTCCCCCTGCGCTGCCTCCCTCTGGAAGCACCCCCTCCAGGGCACTGTGTAAAGGACCTTGGCACTTGGCTGCCCTTGGGCTGGGGGCAGATGGTTTCAGACTTGATTCATCAAGACTTGGGATGACTTTGAACTCCCCAAATAGCAACTCGGGGCAGGCTTTCAGGAACTGAGTTGCTTGCTTCCTTTGGCCTACTTTGCCATGTTCCCAGCCCCCGCTTGCTTTTGAAGAACACATGCACACGTGCACATAACACACACACGCTCCTTTCCTCATGGCAAAAGTCTCACAGGCTTCATGAAGAACACTTGGACAGCAAAGAAAAGCATGGTGAGAAAGCAAAAGAATCACAAGTGAAAATCACTCAGCCTCTTGGCAAGGAACGTTCTAGTATTTTCCCTCCAATCCATCTAGCATCTATCTGTCCTGTTTTCACAGTAGCACAGACCACATGTAAGTTTTTTTTTTTTGCCTGAATTTGCACTTGCAGGCTGTAAGCATCTTTCCATTCTCGCATGTAATGCATTGTGTTTTCTCTATTTTATTATTTCTTTGTTTGTTTGTTTATTTTTTGACAGGCAGAGTGGACAGTGAGAGAGAGAGACAGAGAGAAAGGTCTTCCTTTTCCATTAGTTCACCCCACAATGGCCGTTGCGGCCGGTGCACTGTGGCAGGCGCACTGCGCTGATCCGAAGCCAGGAGCCAAGTGCTTCTCCTGGTCTCCTATACGGGTACAGGGCCCAAGGACTTGGGCCATCCTCTACTGCCTTCTCAGGCCACAGCAGAGAGCTGGACTGGAAGAGGGGCAACCGGGACAGAATCTGGCGCCCCGACCAGGACTAGAACCCAGTGTGCCGGCGCCGCAGGCGGAGGATTAGCCTATTGAGCCGTGGCGCTGGCCTCGCCATTTATTTATTTAAACATTTATTTTTATTAGTTTGGAAAGGCAAAGAGACAGAGGGAGAAAAAGAGAAAGAGAGGGAGAAACATCTACTTGCTGGTTCACTCCCACAAATGCCTGCAACACCCAGAGCTGAGCCAGGAACTCAAGCCAGGTCTGCCACATGGGTGGCAGGGACGTAAGTGTGTGAGCCATCACCTGGATCTGTAACAGGGGGCAGAGCTGGGACTTGAACCCAGGCACTGCGATTTGGGGTGTTGCTATCCTGAGCTACACCTTACATGCTACATTGTGCTTTCCCACAGTAATAATAATGGTGACCGCTACTTACGGAGCACTGAGGTTAAGAATTCAGCCTTTGTAGTCGAAAAGATCTGGGCTCAAATCTCAACCAGGTCCATTTTTTGGCTGCACCTTTGGACAAGTTACTAAATCTTTAGACGCTGAATTTCCTTGTCTGTAAAATGGCGATTAAAAGAAATTGTATAAGATTGCTGTGAACATCAGATGAAATTATGTCAAATAAAGAAAAGCTTGCTGAATTCCTTGGTCCATAGTAAGTGCTCAATAAATCACAGTTCCCGTTCTTTCTTCTGCATGCAGCGGTGAGCAACACGGGACGCTTGGGCGAGTTTGTCTTATGAGCACGGTGCGTGTAGCCCCTCTCCCTAAACCAGAACTCTGGGCTGCACAGCATGTGTTTCACAGTAAGCAGCTAGATGATTTTCGACTTCTATCTTCCCCTAAGAACACAAAATTGGCAGTCAGGAATATGCAAAAATCCACCCAGAAATGGAAGAGAGGACATTTGCACAAGCTGGGTTGTGTCTACAGAATTAGCAAGCACAGTTGGACTAATTTTAGTGCTTACAAATGGGAAACATTGGATCCTGCGCCAGATGCGAGTCCTTGGAAGTGGCACATGGAGCCACCAGCACAGGTCTGGGCACTCTTCCCTTCACGTCTGGGCGCTCTCCCAATCTGTCCGTAGATGCGCTTTGGCTGGAAGCAAAAAGATGGGGTTGGGGGGTGGTACATGGCTTGGGGTCCCTCAAGTGCTCAGGTTGGAAGTGACTGGGGTGACCTCATTCCTCTTTGTTGCCTTGGCTCTCCCTGGCTATCTCCTTTCCTTTGTCTCGCCATAGATAATTTTGATCCTGGGACCAGGCTCTTTGGCATTTTGTCCTTTGAGATTTCTGAGAGGCGCAGGCCCCTGTGACTGACCTTAGTCACACAATTCACTTTGTATCTGAGGAGCAGAGCGGGGGCCTGGCTCCCTTTGGTCGCAGCCAATCAAGCCAGGCCCGAGAATTTACAAGCTGAGGAGAAGCACTTTGAAGAAAGGCCCCCTTGTCTGCGGCTCCCCCAGTCCTGTGTGCTGTGCGTGGGGCATGGGGGAGGGGTGGGCACAGGGAGAGGGGGCCCGGCGCCCTGGGGATGGATGGGGAAAGAAAAGAATCCGAGAAACCAGGGTCAAAAGTCTCTGTGTGAACAGGAAGGAAAACTGAGCGGGTTGCCTTCCACCCTGCAGGTGCGGGCTCACAATGGGAGCCATGGCCCTTCCCAAGGGTCAAGGAGGAAGAGACAAGCGCATCACAGCCTTTATCTGCCTTTGCCCCCCAACCCCTGCAGGAGGGTGAGACCCCCTGGAGAAGCAATAATGTCCCCACCAAGGCAGAGGGGCGCAGCCTCAAATTCTGGTCCTCCCTGGGGCAATTGCTCCTTGGCTCGGAGCGTCAGTGTCCCCATCTGTAGAAAGGGTGGCTAGGGACAGGCACTAACCACAGCGGGCTGTTGTGAGCAGCTCGGACACAGCACTCCGCACTGTCCGGGGATGCTGTAAGTGCTGACTACGTAGAAGCTATAATTAATAGCAACCATACTCGGTTTCAGAAGAGAGAGCCTCTTTCGCGAAAGCCAAGGAGAAAGTCCACTCATTCAATCATCCTTTCATTCATTTGCTTATGCCATCAGCAAACACTTAACAGCGCCTCCTCCGTGCTGGCTACCTTAGAATAGGTGACTGCACAGTGCTCACGGTGGGTCAGGCTCTGTTCTAAGCTCTTTGTGTGTAGCGATTTCCACAGGGGTCCTTGTGATCCACGATTATCGCCTCTCATGATTTCAGTTACCAGCAGCCAACCATGGCCTGAAACTATTGAATGGAAAATTTCAGAAGTAAATGATTCAGACATTTTCAAAAATTTTCAATGTATTTATTTTCCTTTGAGAGAGAGAGAGAGAGAACTCATCTCCTGGTTCATTCCCAAATGCTCACAATGGCCAGAGGCCAAAGCCAGGAATGAGTAACCAATCCAGGTCTCCCACGTGGGTGGCAGGGACTTGAACCATCACTGCTGCCTCCCAGGGTGCACAGTAGCAGGAAGCTGAAACTGGGAGTCGATCAGGCACTCAAATCCAGGTACTCCAATATTGGATGTGAGTGTTCCGAGTGGCTTTTCAATTGCTGAGCCAAGTGCCTGCCTCTCTAAGCCACGTCTTGAAGAGGGTGGGATTGGCAGGTGTGTGTGTGTGTGTGGGGGGGGGTGCTTATTTTCAAATATGTCCAGATATGTTGGGTTTCCCAACAGCATTTATGCTCGCCCATGCTTTCGGTGGAGACTGAAACCTGTAATCAAGAGCCGGTGTCTTCCCTGAGCTAGGAGATAAGCAGGGTGCTCACCCTGAAGGATGAAACGGTGCTGGAATCAGGAATGCGTCCAGGGGTCTTCTCGGCTGCAGGTATCGGCTTGTGCTTGGCTTTCAGCAATCACTGCTCTGAGGCCAGGACACACCTGGAAAACACACCGGAGCAATTCACCTGCTCGTCCGAATGCTCTGTCAACGCCACGGGAAGCCGAATGTCCAAGAATCGCAAACTGGCTCCTGGCACACAAAAGAGTAGCAATAATCATAAGGATAATGAGGAGAATAATGAAAAGCAGTTACTACTTATTAAGACTCTTACATTGTGCCAGAGCCAGCGTTAAGTGCTTTTTGCGTATTGATTGTCTCATACGAGCCCACAATCCGTTCTCTGCACAGCGGCCAGAGTGGCCTTTTTAAGACATAAACTCTAAATCAGATCATGTTAGTCTGTAGCTACAACCCCTTAAAAGCGGCTTCACCTCGTACTTAGAATGAAGTCAAAGTCCCTTCCCCTAATCTGCAAGATCTGTCCCGTGCCTTTCTCTCCCCATCTTTCACCACTCCCCATCCACTCATCACACTCCAGGCGTGTAAGATGCCTCCCTGGTGCAAAGTGCCAGGCTCTGGCTGCCACAGGGCTTTTGCACTTGCTCTTCTCCAATAAGCAAACCCACTCCCCGTGCTAACCCACCACTAGAATGACGCATGCTGGTGAACGAGGAGTTTGTCTCTTGGATCACGGTTGTATCTGCAACCCCCGGGGCAGCAGGGCATCCCTAAAAATCTGTCTTGTGATTGGGATGATGCCAACCCTAAGCACTCAGCACTATCAGCCTCACGTAACAGATAAAACTCGGCAGGTCAGAGTGGTTAATACGCTGTGAGCCGCAGAGCTTCTGAGTTTCCCACTATCACGCTGGGGGCTTCTGTCGGACCCTTGTCTGCAAGCTGTGCCGAGGCTGTACGGCCACCTCGAGAGAAGGAGCAGCCTTCCCGATGGGTTTCCCACCCTTTGCTGGGCAGACAGCCTGGTAAGCTGCACTGAGCCCTCTGTGGCCCAAATCTGTCTCATTAACAAGAAACCCTGACCTGCAAAACTGCTCCATCGCCCCCTGCTTTTTATCTTTGGGTTTTCTTTCACTATAAAAACAAGTTTTATAGAAAGTCTGGGAAGTATAGAAAAAATACAAGGAAGCCAGAAAAGCCACTCGTGACCTCACCATCAAGAGGCAATGTGGGGATTGAGCCGGCGCCATGGCTCACTAGGCTAATCTTCCGCCTTGCGGCGCCTACACACCAACTTCTAGTGCTGGTCGGGGCACCGGATTCTGTCCCGGTTGCTCCTCTTCCAGGCCAGCTCTCTGCTGTGGCCAGGGAGTGCAGTGGAGGATGGCCCAAGTCCTTGGGTCCTGCACCCCATGGGAGACCAGGAGAAGCACCTGGCTCCTGCCTTCGGATCAGCGCGGTGCGCTGGCCACAGCACGAAGGCCACAGTGGCCATTGGAGGGTGAACCAACGGCAAAGGAAGACCTTTCTCTCTGTCTCTCTCTTTCACTGTCCACTCCACCTGTCAAAAAAAAAATAGCTTGGGCTGGGTCAGGCCAAAGCCAGGAGCCAGGTACTCAATTCAGGTCTCCCACATGGGAGGCGAGAACGCAATCATTTGAACCGTGACCTGCTGCCTCCAGGGTGCCCGTCGGCAGGAAGCTGGCATCGGGAGGGGGACTAGGACTTGAATGCAGACCCTCTGGCATGGGATGCAGGCGTCCTAAGAGGCAGCTTAGTCGGTAGACGAAACTCTTACGTCATCTTTAATACAGAATTGAGATGGTCTCTGTAGCTTTCTGTCTTCCTTTTATCTTTTCATTGTATGTAAGACTATTCTCATGCCACTATAAATTCTACAGAAGCATTAAAGCTGATGGGTGCACAGTATTCCTTTGCTTGAGTACGCTGCACCCAGTTTAATCAATCAAATTTCTGCCATTGGAGGGGAATCCCCTTTTCTCTTGCAAGTCAGTGAGGCAAAAATAGGACTTAGATGCAAAGAGGCACACGTCCAATTATGACTTAAATGTTGCACAATTCATAGGCAATTGCATTTCTTTTTTTAAAAAAGTTTATTTTATTTATTTGAAAGTCAGAGGTACACAGAGAGAGAAGGAGAGGCAGAGAGAGAGAGAGAGAGAGTCTTCCATCCCCTGGTTCACTCCCCACATGGCAGCAATGACTAGAGCTGTGCCGATCCAAGGCCAGGAGCCAGGAGCTTCCTCCAGGTCTCCCACAAGGGGAGCCCAAGGACTTGGGCCATCCTCCACTGCCCTCCCGGGCCACAGCAGAGAGCAGGATCAGAAGTGGAGCAGCCGGGATACGAACCGCGCCCATATGGGATGCTGGCACTGCAGGCAGCAGCTTTATCCGCTAGGCCACAGCGCTGGCCCCAGCAATTACATTTCCATACACACACACACACACACATCCTATCACACAGGCGCACATATTTATTTCTGAGGTAGAGAGAGAGAGAGCCAATCTGCTGGTTTACTTCCCAGTGTGCGCAGTGTCACATTGGGCTGAGACTGAGTCAAGCCAAGGTCTATCACGGGAGTGGAAAGAGCACAGGCAGCTGGGCCACCATCTGCTGCCTCCCAGGGTGCACCAGCAGGAAGCTGGATGTGACGTGGAGGTGCTGGGACTGGGATCAGCTCTCCAATATGGGGTGCAAGCATCCCCGTCCCTCTCAAGATCAGAAAAAAAGTATGTCTGCATCCCAGCAGAATAATTATTGCTTTTGTTTCAGTCATTCCCTGAGATTTCACCGTACAGGCATCTCGCTGCATGATGAGGACACGGCCTGAGGAATTTGTCATCGAGCAACTTCATCATTTTGTTATGTGTGCAAGTGTAGTACAGAATACAAACTTAGATAAACAGACCTAGATGGGAGAGCCTGCTACACGGCTGGGCCATGGGGTCACGCGGTGGTATCCACTGTCCATCACTGATCAACACGTCATATGTAGTACATGACTACATGTGAAAATCATGGCTATCCCACAGAAAGTTGTGAATTATACCAGTGTGTGTGTGTGTGTGTGTGTGTGTTTGACAGGCAGAGTGGACAGTGAGAGAGAGAGAGAGAGAGAGAGAGAGAAAGGTCTTCCTTTGCCGTCGGTTCACCCTCCAATGGCCGCGGCCGGCGCGCTGTGGCCGGTGCACCGCGCTGATCCGATGGCAGGAGCCAGGTACTTCTCCTGGTCTCCCATGGGGTGCAGGGCCCAAGCACTTGGGCCATCCTCCACTGCACTCCCGGGCCACAGCAGAGAGCTGGCTTGGAAGAGGGGCAACCGGGACAGAATCTGGCGCCCCGACCGGGACTAGAACCCGGTGTGCCGGCGCCGCAAGGTGGAGGATTAGCCTAGTGAGCCGTGGCGCCGGCTACCAGTGTGTTTTCACTCGAAGCACAGGTTGTAAGGCAGTGCCAACTCGGACAGAATCCCCATGGTTGCCTCGTCACCTGTACCTTTTCAGCCACCGACTCTTCCCACGATGCAGCTGCTACCTCTGTCATGTCCACTGCACCCAGGAGGGAGGGTGGGAAGGGCCTGGGATCTGGAGGTCAGAAGTCCAGGTTCAAGGACTTAACCGTGTGCCTCTGGACAAGTCACTTCTTCCCTGTGGAATAAGGACGCTCGTCCTCGGCTCAGGAACCACAACCATCAAATGAAGATCGGATGAGGAGGGTGTGGAGGAAACCTGGAAGTGCTGAGCACGTAGCTGGTGGAAATTCAAGCCATCCAGTTACGAGCCCAGGGGTTATTTAAAAAGATTTAAAGGTCAGCAGAATCACTGTCCCCAGCCGCAATTTTCAAAAAGCTTGCTCTGGTTTTAAAGTGCTACATAAACTTGATTAGCAAGTGATGACAAATCTCTGAGTTTTTGGGAGAGCAGGTGTCGGGGGCTTTGCTGGTTGTCTACTCGGCATCCATGCCTTCCCTTCCCTGTCAAGGTAGAAACCCTGTTGGGGTCAGGCATTCACCAGGCCCCATTCAGCATGCAGCTCAGGCCAATTGACTCCACCCTCATCTCCAAGGGTGGGCCTGATTGGTCAAAGGATAATGCCACCCTTTGCCAGTGACTGGTTTGGCAGAGGGCACATCACTCCATTTTGGCCACTGAGATTTGTGGAAGGCGAGAGACAAAGTGCGCTGAAGGGCTGGGAAGCCCCTGGCTGATAACAAAGTATCCCTGGAAGAGACATACAGCGGATACCATGCCTTGAAGCACTGTAGCCCTCTGGCTACCAGATTGGAGATGAGACCACCGGGCCAGCGGAAGCGCAGAGGGAGGATGATGGTGATGGCAATACCAATACTGAGCAGGCAGAGCTGACCAGCTACTGTTCCAAATGTGTTCCAGATGACCCCAGACTGACAAGGGGGTTGCAGCCCTGTAAACCCATTGTAAGCTGAAAGTAGCGCAAGCCAAAAATGCAGCGAACAGACGTGACTGGGCATCCCAGCAGAGCCTCACCTACCTTAGACATCCTCAGAGCACGCGCATTGTCCCCGGGGGGCCGAGTCATCTCCGCAGAGCCTGGTTTAAGCTTCTGTTGAGTGTGTCACCTCACTTCCTGGGTCTTGAAAGGGAAACAGAATGATTGCACGCAAATGCTTTACTCCACCAGCAAGTTGAAAAATCACTGGGTCGAACCACGAACCACGGTGAGTTGCTTTAGCTTGGGGGCACAGCCTCGCTTGTTTCCACGGTCTGTGTGCTAAAAATGCAAAACCTACGTTTTGTAATGATTGGGTAAAAATGGTTTTTACGTTTCATAATGATTGCAGAAAAAAGTTTCATGACACGTGGAAATGATCTGAGCTTCAACTTGCGGCGTCTGTAAGCGAAACTGCTCTGGAAAACAGCCAGGGCCACCTGTCTGCCTATCGTTTCTGGCTGTTTTGCTTTTGTGCCACAACTGCAGAGTTGAGTAGTGGGGCAGAGGCCACACAACCGAAGAAGCCTAAAACACTTAGTATTTGGCCTTTTATGAAGACGCTTTGCCCATCCTTGCTTTAGCATTCAGAATCCCATAAGTCGAGGTGCTCTTATTATTCTGATTTTCACGGACGGGAAAAACAAGCTCAGAGAGGGTAAGTGATCTGTCCAAAGTCACACAGCTAGGAAGAGGCAGACCTGAAATTCAATACTAAAGAGTCAAACTTTGGAGCCAGTGCTCTTACCCACTTTGGGGAAGGACCTGAATCCCCAATGTCATGGTAGAGATGCTGAGTCAACAACCTTAAACCTGCTTCAGACTTCCTGGTGTAAGAGGCACATATATGACCTGATTGTATTACTGAAGCTGGCTTCACGTTGTTTCTGGTTTTTCTGATGATGCCACGAGGAGGCACCCAGGAAAGAGCAGAAAGTAAGGCCAGCTATCAGCTCCAGGGCCAGCTGCCTTTTGTCTTTACCCAAAGAATAAAAACTTTCTTAAAGACATTCCAAGGCTCTACAAGTCCTTCCCTTTCGAAGGGATCATGAAGGAAATCCTGTTTTGAAATTGCTGCTGCTTTTGACCGCTGGCGATATTAGCCTGATGAGGAATTACGCTCGCTAATCAAGTATCTCAAGTTGGGTTGCGTCTAATTGTTGCAAGTGCTAGGAGTTAATAGCCTGTTGCAGGGACTTCTGTGTCGGCACATCCCTCACTTGGCTACAGCCCATGTGGAAAATCAATTTCCTCTAAATGTTTGAAGAATGGCACAGAAGGACCTGATTTCTTTTCCCTCTGCTGGAGTCAATCTGGAGACAGCGAGCCTATAAAATGAATGAAAATAGCTTTGGTTGCAGGATGTAGGGGGAACAGGGAGCTAAGCAAAGCCTGCTCATAAGCTCTAAGTTCTTGCTTGTTTGTCCTAAGGCCAGAGACAATACACGCTTGTGTCCTGAAGTGACACGCTGTTAAGTAGTCACAGAGCAGAAAGAGTTTAACTTCACTCCAGCAATTTCACTTCGAGGAATCTCTCCCACAGAAAAACTCCCACAAGTGCACAAGAATATATGAACAGCGTGTTCCTCGTAGCATGGCTTGTGATGGTGAAAGAATGGGAAGCAAGATAATTATCGGACATGGGGAGACTGGCTAAATAAATGGTGATGAATATACCTTTGTAGCCACTAAGGAGAAAGAGATACGTCTATATTTATTCCTATGGGAAGAGTTTTATGGTATGGTTTTGAACAGAAAAAGCTAGCTGCAGACCAAAATATATACAGTGAATTCATTTTTGTGAAAAACGAAATCTTCAATAATGATATGCACATTTATCTGAAGATATTTCTACATGAGTAGAGAAAGATATGAAGGTATATACCCCAGGTAATAGATGGTGGTACCCCAATGCAAGGGTAGGAAATGGTACAAGGGAGTGAAGGGAGGCTTCCTTTCTGATTTGTTTTGTGTTTTTTACAACCAGTGTATGTGGCTTTAAAAAAATGTGTACTTAAGAAAAAAGTGTATGCAGTCATGAAAAAGTAAATAACAAAGTTAGCTTCCCAACTCGTTCGAACAGCACAGTGCTGGACACGTTGCCCATCTTTGAGGATACAGCACTCACGGTCCAATGTGGCCACAGGTGCAAGTCCACGACACATCTAATCTGTTCCACCAGAGCTCTTCCTAGTCAATGATTGTCACAACAACACGGAATCCTTAGCTACCTGCCTGCCACACTGGAACCAAGCCAACATGACCAGATGGCTAACGCCAGCAGTTAAACATGTACTTCACAAAATATTTTTGGTGAGGGACACATAGTGTACTTTTTTTTTTTTTTTTTTTGACAGGCAGAGTTAAACAGAGAGAGAGAGAGAGAGAGAGAAAGGTCTTCCTTTTTCCGTTGGTTCACCCCCCAAGTGGCTGCTATGGCCGGTGCTTTGCACCGATCCAAAGCCAGGAGCCAGGTGCCTCCTCCTGGTCTCCCATGCGGGTGCAGGTGCCCAAGGACCTGGGCCATCCTCCATTGCACTCCCGGGCCACAGCAGAGAGCTGGACTGGAAGAGGAGCAACCGGTGCCCCGGCCAGGACTAGAACCCAGGGTGCTGGCACCGCAGCCGGAGGATTAGCCTAGTGAGCCGCGGTGCCGGCCAACTTTTTTAAAAGAAGATTTAGTTGTTTATTTGAAAGGCAGATTGGCAGAGTTACAGAGACGCAGAGGCAGAGAGAGAGAGAGAGAGAGGTCTTCCATTTGCTGGTTCACTCCCCAAATGGCAGCAATGGCTAGAGCTGGGCTGATCCAAAGAAAGCCAAGTGGTTCTTCCGGGTCTCCCACGCAGGTGCAGGGGCCCAAGGACTTGGGTCATCTTCTCTGCTTTCCAAGGCCATAGCAGAGAGCTGGATCAGAAGTGGAGCAGCCGGGACTCGAACCTGTGACCACATGGGATGCCAGCACTGCGAGCAGCGGCTTTACCCACTACAGTGTACTGTTTTGAAGAGTGTGGTCCAGTGGCCTTGACAATACCAGCACTGTCTGATTCCAGAACATGTCTTCATCCCAGCCAGGGGGAAACCTCATGACCATTGAGCATTCTTTTCCCAGTCACATCCCACTCCAGCCCTGGAAGTCCCCAGTTGTTTTTAGTCACTCTGGGTTTGTCAGTCAGAGACACTGCACATCAGTGGAATCACCCCAGTGACCTTTGGCATGTGGCTTCTTTCAGTTGCATGAAGTTTTCAAGGTTCATCTACTTTGTAGCAGGTGTCAGTAGGTCATTCCTTTTTATGGCTGAATAATACTCCATTGCGTGGACAGACCACAGTTTGTTCTTTCCTTGGGTGATGGACGCTGTGGATATTTTTATATTTGGGTTATTAAGAATAATGCTGTCATGAACCTCCTTGCACAATTTTGTTGAATAGCAATTCCATGGGGTGTATATGAGGGGTGGAACTTTGGGCTGGTATCATAATTTTACATTTAATTCCTTAAGACTTGTCTTCTGACCATGGAAAGTATGCCAGTGATGGGAAAAGCACTCCCCGGGCTTCACTATTGTATTCCCCGAGCCTAGGTAGGGTACACAGATGACGACAACTTCTTGTCATCAAGATGGCTTCCTTCTCTATGAGGGGGTCTTCAGCCAGTTCACAGAAAAAAAAAATGCAGATTTCACGACTTTTTGCACCAAAGTTGACTTATCTTTTCATTTCCCCACAACTTTGTGAAGTGGTATACTTAAAATATCATCACCAACATCCCACTTCTTTCAGACTATTCCAAATATTTCCATTACATGAGCACTTGGGGGAACTCTTATTCAACACACATTAATCAAATGATTAATTAAGGATTTCTTATGTAAGATTTCCTCTTTATTACACTTGTGAAAATTCAATGATTCTGACCAGTTGTGGCTCAGTGAGAACTGACAGTGAGTTGGTCAAGTAGCAGACCGGGTAAGCTGGGTCTTGCCAGGTGAGCCGGGTCTTCTGTTGAATGGTAGCCTATCGTAATCAGGGTAGCTTAAGGTGAGTTTAATTTACAAAGGGCGCGAGCAGTGGTTAAACTACTTTGGGTTAGTAGAGCCTGGTCCTAAGTCTGCCACAAACCAATTTACCTTGTGAAACTCAGCCAGCCCTTCCAAGTCCCTCAGCTTCCACCTCTGTAATGTGGGTTTGATTTTAGGACACTCTTCAGGGGTCATTCATTCAATAAACATTTAGTGTGCAAGCATGGCGTGCCACGCACTGTTCTCAGGGCTGGCTAAAACAGTCAAGAATCTCTACTCTTAAGAGGACAGACAGCAAGCAGATAGATCAGTGGCTATAAGACAGTTACAAGGTATATGAGAGGAGGTAGTATAGGAGGGCTGGGGGAAGGGCTGAGTTTAAACCAAGGCGGTGACCTTGGAACAAACACTTGAAGGCACAGAGGGATAAGTCATGTGGCTATGTTGGAGAATCGGGAACAGGTGGTGCAAAGGCCCTGTGGCAGGAATGCTCTGCAATATCCAGCTAAGGTAAGCAGGCTGTGCCTAGACCGAGGCACGAGAGGGCAGGAGCATCAGCCCTTCGGGAAAACGTGTCCAGACTCCGGGGCTTTGGGACCGGCGGCGTCCTCTTTGCAGCACCGGCCTGGATTTGGGGGTTTGCAGCCGAACGGACCAACTCGAGAATTCCTTTCAGGAAGAAGAACCAATCACCAGGAGGCAATCGGATTCCTTCCCACTCACCTCTCCGCTCCGCATTCCAGAGACAAGGATGATAGATGGATTTCTCCAGGGCCAGGCCAACCTCACGCCTCCTGCCTCTGGTTGTTGAGCCTCCATAAGCCAAATCCCCCCTCTTCAAACACCTGCCCCGACAGGGAGAGAAGCGGCGACCAAACCCCTCACCTTGGCTGCGACATCAGCAAGGCGAGCCCGGTGCCATTCATCCTCCCGACCCCGCCTTGCTCGTGGCACCAGCTGCACCTCTGACGGGCGAGCAGTCTCCCTTCGCCTTTGTTTTCATTTGGCTCTGGATTAAGATTTGATTGTTTTTTACACTTAATTAGAAAATAAGAACACCAGCGAGCTTATTGTTAATTATTTGTATCTGTAGTTAATACTGCTAAGTGTACTCATTTCTTGTGAGTTAATATTTGGCTTGTCAGATGTGTTAGTCACGGTACTTAATTGAGCCCTTATACATTGACTGGCGCTGGGGGCGGGATTCCAGGCGCAGCAGCAAGAGTGAGATGTCTGCACTCCCCCACCCCTCCCCGAGCTCTGGGGGAGCAGGGCCCTTGCTCCTCCCCAGAGGGTCACCTCTTCAAGACCCCCGCATCCTCTCTCTCCCAGCTCCTTTCTCTCCAGGCCCAACTGCATGGCTCATGGGGGCCCAGCACGACAGACTAACACGAGGCCCCTTGTTC